TTTTATTTTTATTTTTATTTTTTTATTCCCTTTTTTTCTTTTTTTTTTCTTTTTTTTATTTCTCTTGTTCACTTGATAACCAACTCAAGCAGATAATATCCTACTTTGTTATTAGTAAAGTCTGCTAATTCTAAAGGAGGAATTGGCTATGTCTTCTTTACTATTAAATAAAAATTTAGCACACTATTAACAATTTTTTCTATCTTATAATAGGTAAATGCAGAGATTTACAATTACTGGTAAAATGAAGAAATTTTTTAGAGTTCTTGAAAAAGAGTGCGTATTAAATATTAAAAATGTGAAATTTTTTTTTTTGATATTTTTATCTGTTATCTAATCTCATTCTTTTTTTTTATTTATTAGTTACAGCATTATTTTTATATTGAAATATTAAATAACAGACAAAAACTTTCTGAATGAAACATTGCTGATTTTCTTAATAATTGTAAATGGTTCAGGAAACTTTAAAAGAGATGTGTATTTTTTTATTTGCAAAGTGGGTAACTTTCTAAATTAAAATTAGAACAGATAATTCATTTGAGTCGGAGAGTTCACAAATTTTACTTAGAAGGGTACTGGATTTGTTTGTTTAGGTTGGGTAAGAGTGAGCAAAGTGGGTAATTCCTTGAAATTACCTGCTTTTTCTTTTTTATTTTATTTTTATTTTTATTTTTTTATTCCCTTTTTTTCTTTTTTTTTCTTTTTTTTTATTTCTTTTGTTCATTTGATAACCAATTCAAGCAGATAATATCCTACTTTGTTATTAGTAAAGTTTGCTAATTTTAAAGGAGAAATTGGCTGTCTTCTTTACCATTAAATAAAAATTTAGCACATTGTTAATAATTTTTTCTTTTTTATAATAAGTAAATGCAGAATTCCAGACATCACATATATAACTATAATTGATCTGCATGAATTTAAGCATTTTTGCTCCTATTAAAATAGATCTAATTTGCTAAAAATCAAATTATCACATTTTAAATCTATACTATTTGCTAAAACTCAAAATACGAGTTATAGTAAAATACTAAATAATATAAGTTTAAATTTGCTTAATAAAATATAATTTCAGTTTATTCAAATTATTTGTAGATTGGTAAATTTAATTGTTAATTTACTAAAATTAACAATTTTTTTTTTTTTTATTATCAATAAAAAAAATCAATAATTAATATAAATTAAACTGCTAATTTTTGTAATTTATAATTAAAAATATGTAAATTATAAATAAAATAATAATTAATAAAAATAATAAATTAAATATAAATATTATTAAAAAATAAAATGTTGCGAAACTCATTGGACAGTTTTTGGCCTGCATTATGCTTAATTTTGGCCGGAATTATACTTGATTTTGGCCAAAATATAACCCAGATCCTGAAACTAATATTTTTAAAAATATTATCAAAAAAAAAGGATAAAAAAAAGTACCAATTTGTTCAAATATAAAATATGACTTTGTAAAATCAATACAATTTGCTAAAACTTATAATTATGACTATTAATTAATTTTCAATTAATTTGCTTTATCTAAATTATAAGTTTAACCTAATTTTGATTGAATTTGCTAAAACTCAAATGTGAATTACATATGTGATATCCAGAATCCTAATGAAATATATAAATAACAAAAAGAACTTTTATTAGATTTTAACGTAATCTTAAAATAGGAAATATTATCTTGAACTTTTTCCTTAAAAAATAATAAACAAGTCATATAAATATAATCATAATAATAAAGTTCTTATATATTAAATAGTACCAGTCACAACAAGTTTTTTTAGTATTAATGTATTATATATATATTTGACATTATTGTTTCTTAAGAAAACAAAGATTTCAAATGGCATTTTTTTTATTAATTAATATAATGCTGCATTTTACTATGTAAATTTTATCGATCATATGCAAATTAGCAATTAATTGCTTTTATTAAATCAATTTAAATCCAATTAAAATAAAATTTAAAACTTAAATAATATATAATATAATCTACTAAAAAACATAAATTTTAGGATTTTTTTTTTTGTTGCTATGATGATATATCGCCAGTTCTCAAATGTCACATGTTTAGCAAATTTATCATGTGATTTTATTAGTTAAAAATATAGCAATAAATTGTACGAATTAATTAGTTCTTAGCATTATGGTATTAATATATTTTTCTATACATTTTATACATTTTTCTATTAATGTCTTATTACACACTCTAAGTAATTACCCCAACAGATTGTTCCACCAAATGTTATAGTTATACTTCTTATTCCTAAATATTAGAGTTCCAATCCGTCATCCGACGGATGATCAATCTCTTCTCATTTATTTTTGGAAAGAGACATTTATGTTTCTTAATTTATAATTTAGGAACTGCATTCGATGTAAGGTGATCAGACTATGCATTATTTAATTAATTGAACATAAAATAAATGGGGTGAAATCTTAGTCGGATTGAAATTTTCATCCGTCGGATGATATTTTAATCCGTTCCTAATTTCTCCTCACTTTCATTTTTGAAAAAAAAGTTTATTTATTAAATTATATACTGTATTATGCTCTTAGGATATCCTTAAAAAAAAATGCTCTTTTATATTAATTAAATGAGCGTACAACTGTCAAAATGTGATTATCCGTCGGATGACGGATTGGAACTCTACTAAATATAATAATACTAAGGTCAATATAAAGAAACAAAGATGTAAGTAAAAATTGACACCTGATTATTATCTTGCAATTCTTTTGATAATGGCCAACTTTCCCACATTTTCTGCAATGTCGTTGATTTCGTATTTTAGGTTTGGGAATTTCAGTGGATGACTTAAATCTTTTGGTACCTAAGGGTCGTCCTTTGCTATATCTCTTTTTTGGATTTCGCAAAATCAGTACTAAAGGATCAATATTTTCTTTATTGCTCGTTTCATCTTCTTGATGATTAATGTCATCCAATTCATCCAAATCTGATTCTCCATCTTCTGTGAATTCTTGTAACAAATTAATGAAGCATTAATAACAAACGGACAACCAATTTTTTTTGTAGCAGTATCCTTAGTTGAATTGGATTTGTAGGTACGTCCATGAGAACAGATATATGAATGGCGCTGGATGACTTTTCCATCACGAAGTATATGATCTTTGATAACACGAAATTCTTGTTGGTTGACTCATACACTTATAAAACCTTCACACTCCTCCCACGACCTAAATCTTTTTTCTGAACATAGTAATACATGGTCATTTTCATTAGATAAAATCATTACGTCATTACTATCATCTACAAAAATAAGAATAGAAAAGGATAAAAAGATTAGAAACCTAAACTAACTATCCTTATTTTAACCCTAAACTACTTCAAATCAACACCATTTTAAAGCTAAAGTTTCTAAACCTAACCAACTATCCTTACCCTAACCCTAAGTTATTCCAAAACCAACACCATTTTAAAGCCAAAATACCTAATCTAATCAACTATCCTTACTCTAACTCTAAGCTACTCCCTAACCATAAGCTACTATGAAGCCAAACATACCATGTGTAAAGTTCAAATTTTTAGCGGTTTTAACTACTTCTTCTATAGAGTAAGGATGAGTCCGCAAATGATTTTTAAATTTTGCAATATTGCAGATTTTGAAGTTAAATTGCGGTTAGTAGCCCACAATTCTGCAATTCAGTTTTAGTGTTTTCTTAACACCAGAACTAATAGTTTTTTTATACAAAAATGCCAGAACTATTGCTTCTGACATATTTTTTAATTTTTTTAATAAAAACGCCAGAACTATAGGTTTCAGTGTTTTCTTTCAATTTATTTATATAAAAATGCTAGAACTATGGGTTCTGACGTTTTCTTTTAATTTATTTTATATAAAAACGCTGGAACTATGGATTCTGGCATTTTCTTTTAAATTTTTTTATGTAAAAACACTGGAACTATGGGTTTCAGCGTTTTCTTTTAATTTTTTTTATGTAAAAATGCCAGAACTATGGGTTCTAGCGTTTTCTTTTAATTTTTTTATGTAAAAATGCTGGAACTATGGGTTCCAGCATTTTCTTTTAATTTTTTTTTATGTAAAATAATTTTTTTATTATTAATAATAAATAGAAATATGTTTTTTTTAGTAGTAATTATATTTTATTAAAAAAAATAGTTTTTTTTGCAGACATTCTGCAAATCCGCAAATATCGCAAAGTACCACAAATATTCCGCAATTGAATTGCGGTACTTGTGATATTTGCAGATTTGCGGAATATTTGCGGATAATTGCGAATTTGCAGATTTTTAGATTTAAAAATCCGCAATGTTCTGCAATACTATAAATCGCAATTATTCTGCAATTACATATTTGCGGTACTATCCTTAAATGTGGTTAATTAAATAAGTATATACAGTAAATATATTATATATATAAGATTAATCAAATTTAGGCCAAAAATACGCAAACTAATTTTTTACATATAAAAATTTTGATAAAAAATACGCAATTTTGATGACCTAACTATAGATGAAAAATTCTAAAATTATACGCAAATCAAAACTTTACTCTGTCTAATTTCACTATGATGGCAACGCATCTGTGTATCCTATCCCTGTATATATATTTCTGGGTGTTTCTCCTCTCCTAGGTAAGATATGTTATATATATAATTTCTTATATAATATTGTATGTAACTTAAGATCTTTAGTTACTCTCTCCTCCTAAAATATTAGGTAATATCTGACAGCATCCTAATATTTTGAAATATTTTAAAAAGTTACAAAATATTATACTTACGCAAACTTGTGGTGGGTCTAAAAACTTACGAAATATTATGTAAAATTATGAAATATTGCGAACTGCAAAATTATGAAATATTTACAAATTGTAAAATTATGAAGCTTTGCATATCATAATATTTTGAAATATTTTAAAAAGTTACAAAATATTATGCTTACGTAAACTTGTGACAAGTCTGAAATATTATAATGTGTAAACTTGCGCAACTTTTTGTACTATATAATTTTCTGATGAGGGTCATGAATCTGAAATAGAAGAACTTAGGCAAAAATGTTAAGTTAGAGTTTTGAACAGATTGATCAAATTCAGGTAATCTGACAGATTGACCTGAATTTTTTAGGTCAGGTTTAGCAATTGCAATTTAGCATCAGTTCAGATTGTAACATCAATATAACCTGAATAACTTGTTGACTTGAAACTATGATTTTATATAATAAGTGAGTTATGATATTATAATTCACTTTTTATATTGAAGCCGATTATGCCTAAATAATATAATTATATTATTTAGGCATAATCGGCTTAGATTAGGTTATTTAGTAATAAAATAACCTAACTATAACTAAATAATCTAAATATAACTAAATAATCTAAATATAATTAAATAATCTAAATATAACTAAATAATCGATATATTACCAAATCATTCATGAAATAACCTAACTACAACTAAATAATCTAAAGTTAAATAACCTAAATATGATTAAATAATCTAACTAAATAACCTATTTATGACGATTTTGTATACCTAGCTATTTTTCTTACTATATCTCCTGTCTTTGTAATCAAAATTACTTCACTAGTTCCTACACATCATTTGCGATCATGTGATTAAATAACCTAAATATTACCATTACTAAATAATCGAAGTGTATCCATTTTTTATTTGGTTCTGTACGCCAGTAATTGCTTTCTAGTATAATTTATGAAATTGGGGCTCTACGGTTGATTGGTTATTAAATTCTACGGTGGAGGCCTAACCTGTCTGCAATTGTTTGGATACCTGGTTTTATGTCGAGGTACTCACCTCCTGCGCCTGATTGGAAGCTGAATTCTATATTGGAGTACTTACCCTTTGTGCCTATTTGGTTGCCTTTCTAGATGCTGAAATAGTGTAAAAAAAAGTGATGGGTGGCGCAGTAGATCTGCGATTAATTTTGGCCGGCACTATACCATAATTTTGGCCGATCTTTTGGGCATGTGATTCGAGGATCCAGCTTAGTACCATGATGGTGACCTGATAGTATCCTGGAAATGTTATGGAACTGGCAGGGAACTGGCAGGGGATTACCATGGAAATGTTATGGAACTGGTAGTTTGCCAGCTTGGATGCCGAATTATTATGTCCAAAGGCCGATTTTATGGAATAGTACTGACCGAAATTATAGAGCGAATCTTGACTGCGCCTTACTTTCCCATAGTCACGTGATACTGTTCCGGCGAGAGAACACCCTCTGTCATAATATAGCAAATTCGGCTAATTCTATTAGTTCACCAGTTTGGAGCTATAATATGCATTATTATGGCCGGCCCATTTGATTGTTAAAAAGTGCGCATATTGTGATCCAACTATTACCTATTAGTTGCCGGTAATATGTATGCCGATTTCATATCCAAGATTGGAGGTGCGATTTGTATTACTATGGCCAGCCTATTTGATTGCCAGAAGTGCACCATTTCACAATCCAACTATTGCCTATTTGTTGCCGGCATATTGGCAGGACATTGTAAGCACTTCCGAGGTCCGATCATGGTTTAAACCAGTGTTGGCAAATTTTGAGGTCATTTCACTTTTTTGAAATGACCTTAGGTCATTTCGTATATGATCACGTGATATATTCATAGTAAAATCATGACGTAATCAGGTCATTTAAAGGTCATTTCAAGGTCATTTGCCAACACTGGTTTAAACTGGGTCAAGGCAGTATGTATGCTATTTTTTTGAGATGGATTTCGTTCTAAAAATTCCGTCCTAGTTGTCTAAGTTATTGGGTCAACTAGGACGAGAACTAGGACGGGGTTTGATATGAGAGAAAAGCTTCTTTCTTTGATCTAACTTGTTCTTATATACTATGTCCTAGTTGTCATAGTTGTTCTAGTAAAAAGTAAAGTTCTAGGAAAAACAAATTTTTTCTATCTTATGCATATGCTATGTATGTATGTTATGTATATATGCTATATATACCTATATGTAAAAAAAAAATAAAAAAGTCTGGGATCTTGCATTTTTTTTAGGACAACTATGACAACTAGGACGGGTATTCAAATTCCCTTTAGTTCGATTCGACAATGCCATTTAGCTATAATTTTCAGTCCTGGTTTCCGTCCTAACTCGTCCCAGTAAACTTGGACGGATTTTTCTAGTGACACGATCCCTTTGGGATTCACTAGTGACAAGTCGTATTATTTTTTGTTTACCTCTAAATTACCTACCAGTATCTCCACTGAAGCCATCTTAGCCAGCTTTTTCTGATGGTACTGTCCCCTTTTACGGTGTTTTCTAGCATGTGGATCGCAAAATCCATATTCGGAATAAGTTCGTTTACCACATTCAATGCAAGGCATATATGAGGGAGAATTCCGATGTATTTGGCACCCTTTTGGGTGGAAGCACCCCCGATTACAAACTTCTCCGGTCCTGAGAATATATGGACATCGATAAAATGCCATTATGATAACTTTGAATAGTTCGATTATGTATCGATTTATATATTTCAGAATTAATTTTCATTTTGAACTTTTTTCTCCTGGAGTATATACTTTCTCTCGAACTGTATATTTGTTATATAATACCATGATCCAATCCTCACTTTCAGAGTTCTTTGACGCCCCCACCCTTTTTTACCCAGAGGCTGAAAAAGATAAAATAGTAATTCGCTATTCCGGCGAAAAATACTTGACCGACATCCCAACACTGGATGATATAGTTGCAGGGAACGATGAGGGATTAACCTCAAACCTCAATGATGCTCTATCCAGTTGCGAAAAAATTCCATTCATGGCTATTGATAGTGAAGGGTCAACAGAAAAGATAAAAGGAATGTACCGCTATGTATTGCGTCTTTATGGTCGCCTTATTAATGGTCAAAAGGCACTGGTAACTCTTATAGGAATTCAGGTTTTCTTTGACATTCTCGTACCAGACAGAGAGACTCCAGATGAATGTGAAGAAAAAGTGAGCGAAATCCTCTCTGGCATTGTGAAATCATTTAAGACGGAACATATTAAAGCATTCCCTTTCCGCGGATACTATGTAGAAAAAAAGCCATATTTACGAATTTATACGAATAGCACTGGGGAGAGAAAGAAAGCCATTATAGCTGTCTAAGATAATAATTTCGAAACCGCTTCAGATGATTTATACTCATTCCACTGAAAGGTGGCTCGAGAAAATGGAATCCAACTCTCTGGGTGGTCTACATTAAACAAATATATATGCAAGAAAGGCAAGCGGACCAGCCTGCTCTATTCACATGAATTCTATGTATCTATAGAAGATTACTGTCCGCTAGAGGATTTCACAACAATAAGTGACTGATTCCCTATTTCAGCTCTCTTACGGGATCGTACTCTTGTCCTTACATGGGATATAGAAACGCAATCACAAGAGTTGGGTGAATTTGCCGAAGTCCTTAATCTGAAACAAAATGTCTTTATGATTTGCATGACACTGCATTGGAAAGATGATCCAAAACCGATAAAGCAAATATGTCTTGTAGACATTGAGACAGAACCAGATCCACGCTGGACCACAATCGTATGTGGAAACCAAGAAAATCTGCTAAAGGCATTCGCTCTCTGCTGGCGAGCATTTGCCCCTGACATCCAAGTTGGGTTTAACGATTCAGACTACGATTGGCGGTTCATTATGGAAAGAGCCTTTCATCTCAACATTCTCGAATGGATGTGGGAGCGGATGACAGGAAGCTTTAAATCGTCTGAAGAAATAATAAAGTGGAATTATCGTGGAAAGATAGGAGCGAAATCTGAAAATACTTTTAAGAAGAAAGAAAAGAAAAAGAATAATGAGAACACAGATAGTGAAAATTCTTTCCACATTCTTGAGAACGGAGAGGAGGATACGGAAGTCAAAGAATTTCTGGGCAGTCCGATTAAGATCAAAATTTCTGCGAAAGATAATTTCTTTTCCAGCTTCCTTAAACTGCCAGGATGTGTACCAATTGACGTTAGAGTTTCTCTCAAAAAGCGTTATCCTCGTTCTGAAGTCGAAAAGGAAGGCTCACTTAAATTCTTCTTACAAAAATGCGGTCTTGACGCTAAAGCTGACATGCCATACGATAAATTGTGGAAAACATATTCAGAGGCGAAAAGGGACCCGTCCCCATCAACTGCAAGGAAAATGCGGGAAGTAGCATATTACTGTATTATAGATGCACTGCGTTGCCAGGAGCTTTTGGTAAAGCTAAGTCAAATAAATGAATACAGAGAAGTCGCTTCTATAGCTTATGTATCTTTATTCGACACACACTATCGCGCAAATGGAATGAAGGTACGAAACATTCTAGGCGCTTATGCTTTTAAACGTGATATGATATTTAAAGCAAGGATTCCTGAAAAGGTGGAAAAGGGTAAGTATCCCGGTGCAAATGTTTTTCCACCTAAAAAAGGTATCGAGACGAAAAGGCCAGTAACGGGATTAGATTTTAAATCTTTATATCCAAGCCTTATTATGGCCTATAACCTCTCTCCAGAAAAATTTATATTTAATCCAGAGGAGGCTGTCATTATAAAAAAGAATGGGAACAGTTTACACGAGATTAGCTTTCCATTCAATAAGCGCACTATTCAAGCTTGGTGCGTAAGACATGATAATCGATCTGAGAAGAAAGGTTTATACCCGGCCGTATTAGAGGAATTATCTGCGATGAGACAAGAACTTAAAGCGCAACTTGCCTCATTAGGAAAGAAGAAGGATCAACTTGGAAAGATAATAAGTTCGGTGAAAGAAAAGGGTAAAAGAATTCCTGAGAAGTTAGATTTAGAATATAAATCTCTTTGCTTCGAATATGACTGCTTGAATTCAAAGCAGAAAGCTGTCAAGCTATTTATGAATACCTTTTATGGAGAGGCTGGAAACCCATTATCTTCAATCTTTCTCCGTGCATTGGCCGGAGGAACCACTTCCGCTGGTAAATACAATATCAAAATTGTTGCAGAATACGTGGAAAAGAAAGGCTTTGGAATCAAATATGGGGATACTGATTCTTTGTATCTTACCTGTCCAGATAAGTATTTTGAAAAATGCGATGAAGCCTTCTCTAGAAAAGAACTATCCAAAGAAGCGTAATGAACCGAAATGGTCAAAATTACTATAGATGTAATAAAAAAGTTGCGCGATCAGATAAATGCATATCTTAGGATAAAAAGTGGGACCTCTTATCTAAAGATGGCTTACGAAGAGGTATTATTTCCTGTCTGCTTTACTGGCAAAAAGAAGTACTTTGGAGTCGGGCATGAAGTTGTAGTAAACTTTAAGCTGAAAAACCTTTTCATGAAAGGGATAGAAACTGTAAAGCAAGGTAAATCCCAGCTTCTCAAATTCATCGGAGAGAAAATTATGAGAGAGGGTATGGATATTAATAATACACGCTCAATTCACGATATTGTTGAAGATACTCTTAGAGAAGCCCAGAACAAGGAATGGGATTTCAATGATTTTATCGTAATGGGTACATGGAAGCCTAAGAAAAATAATCTCTGCAACAATCGCTTTATGAAACGTATGAGAGAGAGAAATGAGAGGATTCCTGATCCCGGCGAACGCTTTAGCTATGTTGTTGTGAAGGGTTCCCGCCTTCGTAGTGAGGAAGGCCGGTTAATACCATATAGAGTTGGGGATTATATGGAGTATGCGGGTATAGCAAAAGAGAAAAAGATGGAAATAGATATCAATTATTATTTAGGCACTACGGTTGGAATGTGCGCACGCTTTATCAATGAGGATGATAGATACCAACCACCACCTTCACATAAAATTATGCAACTTAAATATTCAGATGAAAAGGAAAAGCAGACCAACAAATATTCCCAGGATGAGGCAACAAAATGGCTTAAAAAATATATAAAAGGCTTACAATGAACTTTCTAGGTATTTCGATGATTCGTCCGAAGCTGATATAGACGATATCATCGAATTATATGGTTAAGTATTCTAGCGGAGGTGTGGCAATTTCAGCTAAGAATACTTAGCCGTTAAGGCACTTCGTACAATATTATTTATGACCGCATATTTTTTTCTCGTGCAATAATACTGGCTAACATCAATTCCTATAATCGATCTTCCGACCCTGAACATGAGAGATCCATCCCTCCGATCATACAGCCCAACCTCAGATATGCCCGGAGATAATTATTAGTATTTTGCATATCAAAGTTTACGATCAGCCGAAAAATTCACATATTTTAAAGATAAGCTTTATTGGTATAATGGCCGAACTACGTGACCAAGTTTCCCAGTACATAGGCTTCGAACCCAACAAAATCCATTTCCCGATCACAGAAGATGATAGATGGTTATTTCGCAAAATAATAGCGGATCAGGAAGGGATGAGAGCT